CGCAGGCCCGTATGCTGCGACCCCTGTGGCCTGCAGGAGGGCTGCTGCCGCCCCATCACCTGCTGCCCATCGTCGTGCACGGCCGTGGTGTGCAGGCCCTGCTGCTGGGCGTCCACCAGCTACCAGCCTGTGACGGTGCAGGCTCCCTGCTGCCGGCCCCCATGCTGCCAGCCTGCGCCCTGCCGCATGACCTGCAGGGGCTCCAGCTTTGACCCCTGCTGCTGCTGAACATAGGGCCCAGAGCCTGGAGCAAGCAAGCCACCACCTTCCTGGGAAAGCCTGAGTCCATTTCTTCACCCAAGAAGGCTCCAGCCCTCAGCTACTGAGACCCCAAACCAACCCTGTCTGTCTATGAAGACCTGGGCTGCCCTCGTGTCTTGGTACTGAAGCAATGACCTTCTTCCCATCTTAGATCTAAAATCGGATGGTGTGTTTACTTTTTAATAAACTTCTCTTCTTTGCCCTCCCAAACACTGCTTTGGTTTTATTTACTCATACTAATTTTGTTTTCATTAAATTTCAATACACTGAAACCTGGGCTGATGGCCTCCCATCTGCCAGACACAGGCTGCGTGCTGTACCAAACACATTCAAGTTGAGTTGAAAATGTTCCCCTCTTAAAAAGCAAATGACAACAACAAAAATCAAACTCCTAGGGGACGAGTCAAATCCATTATAATGCAACTAAAAAGTTGGAATGTGAGAAATAAAAGTTCAACATATAGGAGAACATCTGCTAGGGAAAGAAAAGGGGAAAAGCTCAATTTTTAAAAGAGAGAATCAAAGAAAAAATGGAAATAGAACTTTTTCAAATGGGAAGAGATCAAGAGTTTAAGGGAGCGGAGAGGAACGGGAGGGAAAGGGGCTAAAAATGTTTGCTATGTTGGGTGCACGTACAAACTCCTCACAGTAATTGTAACCATTATATACTGTGTACTAAAATGCACGAAAAATTTAAAAATAAAATGGGTATAAGTACAAAAAAAGTGCAATGTACCCACAGAGAGGTCACTATTTTTGGGGGAGAAAGAAAAAGATTTAGAGAAACTAGCGTGCATGTGAGTTAAGATTTTGGTGTCCAGATTAGAGAGAAGTTGGCATTCTTAGCAATGGAAATGGTATAAAGTATGGAGGAGACACCTACACAACTGTCTGGGGGACACTCTGCATGGGAACTCGAATATGCCAGAGTGGGAGCAGAAAAGAAAATTGGAAAATTTATATCCTTTGCATATTGCCAAAGGAGCGGGCAAGTAAGCACTAAAGAGCTGTTGAAAGTTCTGGGGCAAGAAATGGCATGACAAGAGTTGGCATTGGGATGATGCTTAGGGAAGGTCCTTATAGAAACAGAAGGCCAAAGTCTACAGAAGTAACAACTACACATAGACTAATCAGAAGGTCATTGCCCTGGTCCAAGTGA